CGGTGAGGGAGCAGGAAGAGAGCGGGGAGCATTGGGGTAGACATGCTGTGCAAGCGATAGTAGATTTATTTGTTTATTTTTACTTTACTGAATGTTTTGGGACAAGCTTAAACTCCTCCGTGTATAAGCGACCTAGTTAGTCAGAACTTTCAGCAACAGCTTGCAAATACTCGGTGGGAATTGCTGGAAGAGCACATATTTCCTCAAAAGCAAGCAAGGTAAATTCTTTATCCAAATGCTTCAGCTGTCTGTGAGCTCTGAGGTGACTACGATGACCACACAGGCTCGGGAAAATCATCCTGTGGTTTGACTTTGGACACAGCCTCTAATTTGAAAATATGTTCTCTGGAAGTATGTTAATGCTGTAGCACCAAACTGGCCTTTTCAAGATCTGCCCCAGAACGATTTCTTTTTAGGGCTTGGAGTAAAAATTCCTCACAGTATGAGTCTCCATTTTCTGTTGAACTGTGAAGGGTTCTCAAAAATCCATAATATATTCTCTATGCTTCAAGATAACTGTTCATTACACTGTTTAGCATTCTTGGAGAATTTGCTCTTTCCAGTGTCCAGCATTCTTCCTTACTTTGGTAGAAACACATTACTGTTCTTTACTAAATAATTTCTGTGCTGAAGTGTGCTAATTATATTTTCTTGTTTCAGCTTTGTATGAAGGACATGGTGACTGATTTTGATGAAAAGCATGATGAATATTTAATAACCCTTCAGCAGAGAAACCGGTAAGATAAAGAACTGCTACTATAACTGAGTGGGTAGTAACTAATGTGTGCTATGTGTTATAATGTCTAATATCAGCTGTTGTCACTTGTTAGTTTAAAAACTTGTTTGTGACACAAAGTCTGGTTTGATTGGTCATACAACACTCAGGTGATTTTCTTTACTTCTGTATATTTGCTAAGGTGCAAACCAAAGTTTTTTATTTTTAAAGTTTCCAGCGCCTCTTCAGTGTGCCATAAAATACAGAGAAAAATATTTATTCCCATTATTTACTCAGAAGTTTGTTTATAGAGCATGAGGTTCTGGGGTCAGAAGTAACTGGCACTTTAGTGCATGAGAATATTGAGGCAAGGTTTTGTGCTTCCAGAAATACAGAAAACTGCATCCAAGAGCTTTCCCTAGTCAAGTTCTTCTGAGACTGGCGATAATGACAGCTAGGTTGCTCTTGAAAACCTTTTGAGTCAACTTTTACTGACTTCTTTATATGTTTGTACCATCTTCACTGCCTGAGAAAGCAGGAAACATTGTATCTTAGGTAAGGCTTCATAGATTAATTCAGAAAGATCCGCAGAGCTTCCTCTCTGCGTGCCCTCCTGTACCACAAGGAGCAATATTTTCTATCAAACCCTGGAGCAAACTTTTTTCTGTCAAATCTTGAAACAAACATAATGATTTTGGTCAAAAGCCCAAAAAGGGAGAAGCGAGAAGGTGCAGACAGGTATCATTACCCACAGGACCCCAACCCCTTAGGCTGCCTCTCACCTCACTGAATAAATTAAGACCAACTGAGTGTCACCTGTGGCAAAAAAAATGAGGGAAGCTGAAACAGGGAGGGTACTGGGCTGAAGCTGAGCCTGGAGAAGGGGGAGGAAAGGTGTGAAGTGTTTGTGTTCTCCAATGCCCAAATTGGTGATTAGAAGCAGATGTTAATTGTTAGTAATTTTAAATTGGGTTTAAAAGGCCAGCTGGGTAGTAGGGAAGGGGATGGACTGTTTTTGCCTGCAACAGTACTTGGTGGAAGAGGCAGCTGGACGTGGCATGGCCTGGAGTAACTGGAGTGTATCTGAGAGCAGGGAAGAAGCCTTGGTGATTCTGGTATTGGCAGTTTGTGTTGCTGCAGTGCCAGTGGTGCTGGGGGAGAGGGGTGGGTGCGAACAAAGTGTGAAACAGGGAAATGCAGCAGCCGAGGGGACCTGAAAGCTCTCGTTGGGTGGGAAGGTGGTGTGGGGTGAAGCTGCCTGCTTCAAGCAGTGGCCTGGACCCTGGCCATGGCCATGGATGGGTCCTGGAGCAGCAGCCTGCAGCTGCAGCAGCTGGTTCAGTCCAGGAGTGGCTGTTGCTGTGTCCGGACCTGCCCTGTGTGCCCAGCGGGGCCCAGGCTGCCTGAGGGAGCTGGGGAGGGGGCTGTGGTCTCTGTCACAGTAATTAGGATAGAGTACTTGGCCTGAAGAGGAAGTTCTGGTCAGGAGTGAGTGACTGCTAGTGCTCAGCTACCCAAAGTGAAACCTGTGCTTGGAGCCAACCTACAGGCTGTAGAAGTAGTGGCTTAAAGTGACGGCTCTGGTGTGGGATCCTGATGGCTGGAGTGAGAACAGGAAGGGCTATGATGAACCAAAAGTTCCCTCTGTACAGCCCCAGTTACACTAATTTTGGCACACCTGCGGTGATGGGGAGTCCTGCTCCATGGAGCATTAGCACTCACTGGCCCTTTTCTCAGAGGGAAATTAAAGAAACATGAGGCATCGTACACTCCTCGAGCAAGTGAGATGCAACCTTTGTCCTAGGGGAGCAGAGCTCTAGGGAGCTTGGTGCCTGTGTCACTTATTAAACTTAGTCAGTGCAATAGAGGAGGATTTTTAAATACCTCATTGGAGAGATCCTATTGATCCCATAATTTTGCTTGGTCTCTCTGCACTGTTCAAAAAAATCCCTGTTCATCTTTTTACTGTATTTTTCTGTTATTTCTAACACTACTATTGATTGGCAGTATTTTTTTCCCCATGAGTTTCAAAACACAAATAGCAATACTTTTATTCTCAAAAAGGTTAACCATTTTCATGCTTTTTATTATTATTTAAACAAACCTATCAATAATTCTCATGCAGAAAGTTTGTGTAATAAATCTCAAGTTGGAAAAAAAATGTGAAATTAGAAGCAGCATAGAAACAGTCTTTATATATAGGAAGGTCTTGGTCAAATTTAAGTACTGATGCTGTGTGACACATTATAAAGGTCTAAAATGAAGAACAGGTCCTGGGAAGTATATTCTAAAACTTGGAACATTTTTCAGCTTTGTGACTTTGTGTTGTGTAATAACTGCTAATATGGCCCCCTGTATAAACAATGCGTATGTTATTATCCATTCTGTGCCAGGATACTGAAACAATTAAAAAGAAAAGATCCTATACAAATCAAACTGGAGCAGTTAGAGCAAGGATTTTGTCTTTATCTTAATGGAGCTAATTCAGAGCTGAAAAATTATCATAAAAAATCCAACTCGCAAGGCTATCTTAAAACAGAAGCAAAGACTGCCAGGACAAATGGTGAGTGTCATGAGAGTTTTGCAGTGATTGTAGCCTAGATTTAAACATTTCCTCAGCAGAGCTGTAATCTAGTTGGTGAGGCTAGTGAGTCAGGCTGCGAGAGTGAGACAGCAGCAGCTGAGGCTGCTGGAATAAAACTCCATGGGGCACCTTTGTTAAAGTACTTAAGTTGCTTGTGTGTGACAGGTAGTCTCTGTGCCATGCTGTTCATTGCTCAGTTAAGCCCTAATTTCAAAGTTTAAATTCTCCACTCTTCCATTTCTTAAACCAATATACCTGGAACCAGAAGATCAGAAACGTGTATATGCTGCTAGTACAAAATAATTGTATGGCTTTATTTTGGCCGTAACACCATTGAAAGGTTTTATATATATGGAAGTTGACTGTGGTATCTCATCTGGTCTCCTGTAGAGCACAGATAGTAATCAAATTATATTCAATAGCGGCTGCATTAGGCTCATAACTCATGCTTAAACTATAATAGCCCTCTTAAAAAAAGATATGTAAACTTCATTTAAATATTTGAAGTAGGGTTTCCTTTTCCTCTCATATATTGTTCTAGTGGTTAGCTGATTTTATTGAAAGTGTGAATCTTATTTCTAGTTAAGTCTCTCTCACAGTAGAGAGCAGTGTAATATAAGCAATATTTTTGTTTTGTGAAGTTATAAAATGTGAGACTAGTGACTTATTTTTCCAAGTATTCTGTTCATTTTCTGTCTTATAAATCTTGTCTTGAAACTGTGGAACAGCAGCCCAGCTAGAAGAGACGGAGCTGCGAGAATGGAGCGTACAGACTGCAACAAGCAAAACAAGGCGCAAAGGATGGCGTCAGGTAAGGGTTGGGCTGGAAATAGTTTTGTGAGAAGATGGCTACAACTGGTGAACAACAGTCAGTTCACACACCTTAGGGTGATTTCTCATGGAAGTCTGATCTTGGATACTGACTGGCAGAATAAATAAATACCTCCTCCCTCCCCCCCCTTTTTTTTTTCTACTTGGAAGTCAAAAGAGGAAGAAAATCTCCTTGAGAAGGTCCAGATTCAGTGGCATCTGCTACAGAAACTTCTGTAGCCTTGAAGTGATTGATTGGCTCACAGTTCTCCAGCAGAATAGTTGCTTCTCTGCTGGAATGCTTAACTTTTAGTGCAACGATGGAAAGCCTCATCCTTGCTTCTCCCTGCAGTTCTCTGCCCTGCAGTACTGTTAAAGGGACATACAGGTGTGATTTGCATAACTTTGGTTGTAATTGGTGAGAAATTACTGTATATCGGAACAGTTAGTTTAAAAAAATAAAAAAAAAAATTCTCTGTCTCTAGGAAGGTCGAGGCAGCTGGCTTCACAATTCTTGGATCAGTGGAGAAATCTGTCATATTTTCTTTTGGCTTAAGGCAGGATCTGATCTCAGTCAAGGAAGATGATTCATTTGCCAGAGCAAGCATGTATTTTGAACAGCTGGGACATCTGTCACCCAAACAATTACCCTACTTGATTAGCAATCATCTTGGCTGGATGGCCAGTCTCTGCTTGGGTGACTGAACATCAAGGGTTCATCTTATGTAGGCTTTCTTTTCTTTCAGAAAATATTGCAAATACAAGCTCAGGCTGTTTTACTTTATTTATAAGTCTTGCTACTTACTGAATTAATTTTCCAGACTGTTGTTTCTCTCAGTACTGGCCAGTCCAACCTTGTTTGCTAGTCATAGCTATGTCATTTCAATTACAAGAGCCAAACAAAGAAGAAATCTCATCTCTGAGTGCACTGGAAAGTTTCTGGAAAGCCAGCTATAGGCACCTGTACTGGTTCAAAGTAGCTACTAGTTGAAACTAGATTAGGGTGATACCTTAAATTTTGAGCCCAACTGGATGGGAGTATAGCGGAGTTATAGTAGCTGGATGTACAGCTAGGACTATTTAGCTAAGGAAATGTGCAATCACTGAGCAAACTGTAGGTGGTGCTAGACAGCAGGTTGCATTTTTCTTGTTTGTGTATGGTTTGTGTTTATTCTTTTAAATGTAGCTTTCATGCAATATTTGTGAATGCTAATATGGGTCCAGGGAAGCACCGAGTGTGGTGCAAGAGCTACATTCTTCTCGAAATGTCTCAGCTATAGAGAAGAGCTAGAGAATGCTTTGTTGTTTCTGGATGTTTTCTTGCATCTAGAGCTTCAAACCCTCCATTTCACAGATTAGATGCAGAATGGGACTTGGTAGTAGGCTGAGCTTACTCTTTCCTTTCCAGAAGGCTCTTTTCATCCATAGCTAGAGAAATTAGTCTACCTAAATTTACTTACCTAAATAGACTAGACTATTACTGTGATAATGTGCAAAAATCCTACTGCTCTTGTGGGGCTTCTATTCCAAGTATCCTGGATTGCCACTGAAGATAATAGAGAGATCTACCTCTAGTTATTTGGGTTAATGTTAAACCTTAATGTCCAAGTGAAGTATGTCCACTTTTAATATGCATCCTATGGAAGGCCCTTCTGTTTCTGTTCAGTAGCACTGATGGCTTTTCAATGAGAGGGATCTCTGTGGGATCTGAAGTGGTGTTCCCAGTTGTCACAGGTGCTGTATTTGAGCAGGTGGGGAGGAGAGATCCAGCACTTGTTAGTTGTGTTCCCGTGGTAGCCTTTGCCCAGACGTGGACACCTTGTAAACTCCTTCAAACTGCTACTCGAGTTTGCCATGGAATTTATCTTAACCAGCAATCACTTAACAGAGCTTATTGCTGTATTCGTTTTCTTCTATGCTGGTTTTCTCCTCTCTTGAAATAAAAGCTACTTTTCAAATGTAGCTTTTATTTCTTTACACTCAAATGTATATTTGAAATATACATTTCAAATGAGGACAGCCTTCTTGTTCTTGCATCCATTTGACTTGATAGGTGTCCCTGTAACAACATTTTCCCTGAGATTTCCAATGGCTTTTCTTTGGGTAGCTAAATGACTTGGCAATTTATATGTGAAACTAACTGAATTCCAGGCTGTGCTGAGGTGTGCTACAAGGCCAGGAGGTGGATTTATTGGCAGAACGCTTTCTATTCTCAAGTTACCTTAGCATCTCCTCTCTGGGTGGCTCTGTTTCTGACAGTTACAAAATGATAGCGAAGTGTATGAACAGCCACATTTTCCTGTGTACCCAGTACATAACACATGACTAATGTCTTCCAAAAATTATTTCAGATAGGTTTTTTCTGGTTCCTTTATAATACATGGACATTGTTCTGTAAAATACACTCATTGTCCTTTGTGTACTGTACAAAGCTGAATTTCTTAAACTGTTTCTTTTTACAGAAAGCTGTGGAGATTAAAACAGAAAGTGGATCTAAACTCTACATTAAACCTCCTCCTGAGTACTCTGAGGATTTTGAACCTTATGAAAGTGTGAACATGGAGACAAATGATGATGATTCTGTATGTTACTCCCAGGTACAATTCGCTCCTGCCTTCTGTTGTTCATAGTAATGGCAATAGAAATGCTGAATGGGCCCAGTTCTCAGTCTTCACTAGTATGTAATATGTAATAGCTGTATCACAAGACGATTTGGCATTGATGAGATGTCATAAAGGAACAAAATGAAAAGAAAGCAAATGCTTAAAAATCTGATCTAGGTCAGCAACACTAAACTGTCCCAAGTTTTAGTTTACAGCAGCAGAATATTCTCTCAGACAAGATTAACATATCTCTTTAAATAAGAGTTTTCAGTTCGTTTAGTAGTGATCCACATGGGTATCACTCTTGGCTCTCAAGTCAGAGAATGCTTAAGTAACACTTGTTACTCTTCTTAGGTTATAATTTTAGCCTGAAATTGCCACACGTCATGATTTTACCTAACAGAAGTCAGAGTAAAGTTTAAAATAAGATAAACAATAAAGTTGACTTCCATCAAAGATTATTAATTGTATTGATATGACGGTGATGTTTGACAGTTTAGCCTTCCACTTGACTGCTAATTGCAGTTGGTTCTAACATGAGCCACAAAAGCCTTTTTTTAAAAGGATTGTTTTTCTGCCTAACCAATGAATGGCACCAATAAAGCTGTTCTGCCTCTATACAAAACTGTCCACAGATGATACCACTTATGTCGGGCAAAGTTGCCAAGTGTATTTTCCTAGTCTGCACTTCTGTAAAGCTAAAAACCTCAGAGGTTCATCATCAGACTTAATCTAAAGGATACATACAAGTGATTTTTAGTTATTTGTGTCCTTTGCAGATTTTACCATTTGTCTGAAACTGGAAAACTGAAATTTTCTTCTAATCACTTTAGATGATTTTTGTTTTCCCCTTTCAGTTCTGTAATACGAATCTCAGGAAATAATTTGCAGTTAAAATTACAGCAGGCCTCTTAATTTTTTTTTTTTTGTTGTTGCTGTTGTTCCAGAACTTCATTTCTTCCAGTAATAGTCCATCCAGTAACTTTCAAGATACAGCCCTGAACTCCATTACACAACTTTGCAGTGATCGTAAAAAGGAGAAAATATTACTAAGTATTGAGGACATAAAGGTATGGGACGCCGGATTTTTTTTGTTTGTTCTTCTTTTTTTTTCCATTACATAATTTGACCCGCTTTGTAGAAGCTTGGCATGGTGATTTCTAACAAAAAAAAGTCATTTTTTCAAGCTTACAAAGGTTCTGGATTCTGTGTTGAGTTTCAGGCAAACCCTGTCCTTTGCTTTTCAAGGCTTTCTAATGAAACAAATCCAAAACCTTTCTCCTGCTTTCTTTCCCTTATATACTGCCCTTTGAGTCCTGTCATATCTGCTTGGTCCTTAGCTCTACACTCAGAAGTGGGGAGATCAGCCAGTTTTATTTGTTGGGGGTGATTTTTAACAGATAATTTTGTGCAATTTAAATGCTGTGCCTTGTTTTATTTTGACAGTCAGTCAAAGCTTTATGGAGAAGAAAATAGATAAATATTATGTGGAGGAGGGGTTGGTGGTGGTACATGTGGGAGTTTTCAATAGTTTTTCAATGTTTTTCCCCTCGTCACCCCCCTCCGCCCTGGTGCTTGAAATTTGAAGTGACTTAATGGTTTTCAGTGTGACAACAAAGATACCTTTTGGATTACAGGGTTATTTTTTCGCCGAATTTCAAGCTTCTGCTCTAAACCATTGAGGCTAAAAATTGTCAGTATTATCTCCGCTAGCAATTTTAATTGCTTGATTTAGTTTGCTTCATGTTCCCTCAAAATATCAATTTGAAATAGACAACATGTCTGAAAAACATCAGCCCAAGGCTGCCTCAAAAAAAGGCAACAAAAATAGGCAGTCATATTAAAAACTGTGTATGCTCTTAAGCATGTGTTTTATGCTGTTGTCTGTCTGAGCATCTTCTGCATAAAATTAGTACCCTGTAGTCTCCTGCATGCTACAGGAACTAATAGATACTTCGGAATCAAAAGGCTGGGAGTAGCTTGTCGTCTAACGTCAGTTTTGATCCTGATTTTGATTTTTTTTTTTTTTTTAAAGTGTGGGGGGGGAGGGGATATGAGTGGATCTGCTAGTACTGTAAATATGATTCCTTTGAGGAAATGAAGTTTTAATAAGCATGGTCAAATATAGATTTGGCCAGTTACTCCTACAGCCTGTCCTGTAGTTGAATCCTGTGACTTAAAATGTCATTGTGTGTATGTCTATATAACTTCATTAGTTTTGAGCATCCACTCAGCTGTTTGAGTGACTTGAACTTTAAATCTTGAAACAATTTTTACCAGTGAGGGTTTCCTGAGCCTGAAGGAATGCCTTTGAGGTGGTATATCTAACAGGTACTTGCATTAGCTGCTGAATCAACTGTTGCCCAAGTCAGCAATCATGTGGTTGCTCTTTTCTGCCCTGCTGTATTTTCAGCCTGTTTCCAGTACAGCAGTTCATTGAGCTATGTTCACAGCAGGAGATAAACAGTGTTTAAGATATGGGAGTTAAGATTATGAATTTTGGCTTCCAATCTCCTATAACAGAAGATTTGAGTAAACAAGCTGCATTATGAAAGCTATTGAATCTCTTGGTAAGCATGACTTAAGGTTTTCTTTAATAACAGCTCCTCATCAGAGGGATGAACATGTGGCATATGAGTATAAATATTTTTGGCTTGATCATAGCTCTGAGTTGATGAGTACATACTTTTTCCTCCTGGGGGAGGAAGAGGCAGCTGTGTTACTGTATTTTAAGACATTTTTGAGCTTTCTTGACAAATCTGTTTGAATTGTACCAGGATCTGAGAAGAAGCTTGCAAATTAGTATAGAAGAGAAAAAGGTGGATGAAAACTCTTCTAGTGACGATTATGACTCTGTTGAAGAAGATGTGTCTTCAGAAGCATCTCCTACTGAGGAAACGATTGCAAGCTTTGGAGACCTTCAATTGCATAGCAGTAAGTCACTGCAGAAGGAAGCTGCTGCTCATCAGGAGGCTGAGAGGTGCTCTGGCCTTGATTCTGGGGCACTTATTGTGCTGGAGTTCAAGGAGGATCAAAATAGTAAGTTCCTCTGTTAGACAATTTCTTCTAGAGTACTGTAATATTTTTTAGGGAACACTGGTATTTAGATTTATGATACAGACCTGTAGCAGTTCCTTCAAAAGCAATGCTCACTGTTTGGTGCTGGAAAGTTCTCAGGCAGGAGTGATACCCTTGCTTCTTTCGAGGGACCACATCCCTGGTCGCTTCTGTTCCTCCCAGGCAGTGTAAGGAACCAGCAAAGTCCTGGCTGTATCTCAGACTAGGCTTTTGGATGCATGGGCGGGTTCTTTTGTTGTGTATCCTTACTGAAATAATTATTTTTTAAGTATAAGTGAATATGTATCAGAATCAGACTGCTTCTGTCAGTCTCAGGGCCTGTCAGACCTCTGTACAGTACATTTTAAGTGTGTATGTATATGGATAGGCGTCATATAATTTCCTTAATGTAATGTGTAAATAAATGTGGATATCCCTCCTGTGGACCACTCCGGAGATCAATGCTTACTGGACTCACTAACAGATCAAACGGACTAACGGGCAGTAAATTCCTTTTACATTATTCATGGTTGGACTTGATCTTGAAGGTCTTCTCCAACTGTAATGATTCTATGATTCTAAATATCTCTTTGAGTTAAGATGTTCCTTAACTATTGACTGCCAGAATCAGATTTTATTCAAGAAAGAGTTGTGCCATACGTGCCATGCTCCTCCCTCTGCATCCACTGCTGGTCGAAACTGGCATCGATATTATATAGTATTAAAAGTAATACACAGGAAGCTACTTAGGTGTTTTGATAAATAAACGCTGCCTCTGAATTCAGAAGGCAGAAGCATGTTCTGCCACCCAGGCTTTATCTCCAGCTCTCATACAGTCACATAAACTAGAAGGAATTGCTGTATCCTGCAGGCTGAGCAGGCTACCTTGTACAGTGCAAGACATGGCACTTCCTTGAGTTAATTGTGGATATTTTCAGGAGAATTTCAGCTTTTTCAAGGATTAGCAATACATGCAATGAAATGAATGTGTCCTTGCGGATAAGAGAATTCTTGCTTTAATAGAACTCCTATGTCAAACTCCTGCTGTGTCTCCTTGTGTACTACTTGCAGGGCTATGTAAGAACGAGGACACACTGTATGTACCTGCCTTTTGCAGTGATTCAAAATGTTTGTATATTTTCACCAAGTCTTTTACCGCATTAGTTTCTGTTGTTTTTCTTAGTATTTTTCTTTTTTTCTTAGCACAAATATTTTTTCTACTGCAACAGAAAAAATAACACGCTAGCATTGCTAGCTTTTTTTCCTTATTGTTAGCACAAATGTTTTTCTACTGCAACAGGAAAAAAGCACACTGGAGCAATGCTAGCTGAAGCTTCTGTTAACATTTCAGTTCCTCCATTCTCACTTGCTTTTCTTTGCAAAATCTCTTTATTGATTATCCTTTTCTCAAATTGACTTTTCTTCTGAAACTCTTGGATTTTCTCAGATCTACTTCAAAGAAAGGTTTTTGGTTTTCCAGATGGAGTTTAAGTTAGCGAGATGGGGTTGCAAAGATGCTGGCCTCTTAATGTCTGTTCTGTTTGTGACAGCCAAACATCAGGTGTTTGTACAGTCTCAGAACAGACTCAAGTTTCAAATGAGTGTATCTCTAAGGTATTCAATGTGATACCTCCAAAAATATCTTGGACTGTTTTGTTTTTCCCATCTAAGGGAGAACTGCGTACGATGAGCTTCCAATGTGAAGTCCCAGTGATTGCTGTGGTAGCCCTCGGTTGTAGCTCTTCATTGAACTCCATGTCCTGCATTACTGAGCAGGAGAAGTGAGACTAGAGAAAATGCCAGATCTCTGCAATCTGCAGAGATTCCAAATGTGCAATTAAGTTGGTATCCAAGCGGACTTGATGGAAAAGAATTTTGATTGAAAAAAATCAGCATCTTTTTAAATGTAAAAGCTACAATGAAAGGTAACAGTGATAATCTGAAATACAAAGAAAATGTGTCAGGTCAAGAATGGCAAAGTAGTCAAGGACTTCTTTAGTGTGAAAAGAGATGTTTGAGAATAGAAGTACAGAGGGTATTAGGTAGAGCTCCATAAAATGGCATGTGATGCTAGAAGTTCCATCACTTGAACTTGTAGTGCAAGAATTAAGGACATCAATGATGTTTTCAAGCAGCAGGCCTAAAGGAAACAAATGGTAGTATTTTTATGTGCAATGTATAATGAAGTTGTTACCAATGCTAGAAGATGGTATGGAAGCTAAATTTTTTTAAATGCATTCAGAAAGCCTTTACATGATTTCATAGAAGATAAGAGGGACTGTTGTCCTTTAAACAGTGGTTTATGTGTATCCTTCTGCTGAAGTCCCTGGGGCGCTGCTAGACAGTGTTGTGGAGGGAAGTGTTGCTCTGTCTGTTCCTGTTCGCTTTCTTGCACCTTCCTTTGGCCAATTTAAGAGACAGGGCTTTTCAACAGTCGTGTTCTTAGGTTTCTTGTGCTTACTAGTAACACAGGAATCCAAGCCATCCTAGTCTGAGCTTCATCCATTTCGCATCCAGTTACTGTGGCATATGCTATTTGTCCCTGCATAAGGATAGACTTTCTCCAGTTAGCATGTCTATCTGGCTATCTGAGCCAAACTTTTTGTTAGGTCCCATGTTCTCATTTGGAGACCTCAGCATCCAAGCCCAAGTCAGTCACTGAATTTCAAATGTGTTCAATTGATTAAAGGTGTAGAGCTCACGGGACAGATCAGAGACTTGACCTACACTGAGTGCTTGTCAAAATTCCATCTTACTTCATTCAGGACCTAAAAGGAAATTAAGTGGAGGAATGTTCTCATTACCATCCTAATCATGTTAGGATGTTAGGGAGCGTCAATGAGGAGGGCTGGCAGAAGCAGAGATGGGAACAAGGGACAGAGCAGCTATGAGCAACACCCTGCTTCAGCTGAGGACCATGAGGGAGAAGTGGGGGGAGCTTTTCTCAGCATAACTTGATTCATAACCATCATCCTGTTGCCTTGCCACTGAGACCCTAGTAATAGTGGGTCCTGTGAGTCTTAAGCCTGCCTCAGAGTGTGTTATGCTCTTGGTGGGGAGAGGGACATATCTTCACTTCGGTTGAAGCAAGCAGCTGAAATCTACTGGTGTAGAATGGAAGTCTCCTTAGATCTGGGAGATATTGAAGTTTGATATCCTTCCTTTTCTGTCCCTGTCCTGAGAAGGACATTGGACAGCTTGGACTATATACTCGATCTAATGTGATCTGAGTGAAGTTTGGCTCAGCCTTTCCTTGTCACCTTCAGTGCTGGAGGGCTTTATTCAGTGTAACAGGGCAAGAGCTAAAGGAGATAATGGTGAAGAGGAGGATATTAGAGGAATCTCCTGTGGCAAGTTCCCATTCAGTGCCCCTGTGTCTATTCTGGTAGCTCCCAGCTGTTCCCAGCACACTGCCTGCTGCTTTTACTTCAGCAATTTGGATCAAGATGTTTAGACAGTAAATGATTTTCCTCCAGAGAGAACTTTTCAAGCTCTGATGCATGCAGCGGAGGTCTTAATATTCTCAAACAAGGGTACTCTGCAAACTCTACCAGGCAGCTCTCTATCCTTTGACATTTTTAAGTAAGATTAAATTTTAGTTTATGTTTTAAGAATTTAATTTGGCCTATGTTAATAGGTGACTCAGGGCTTCTTGTTCTCTTTCTACATTTATTGACGGTAATGCAGGTTAAATGTCTGTTGCAGAAAGAGATATATTGGTTTAATGTATTTTGTAATGATATGTTTTGTTTCATTGAGTCAGTGCGAGTCATGCATCTGTACTTTTACATTAATAGAAGTGTCAACAAAAGGAAAGTGAGGCAGAAGATGTCATTTTAACTATGCTCATATAATTGACTTGGAAAAACTTTAGTTTTTAAGGTCCAATATGTTTTCCCTAGCTGACTGCTCCTAAGTATCTCTGAATTTGATTATTTCTGTTCCTTTATCACCTTGCAGAAGTGAAGCCAGCCCGAGTTTTCTCTGCAAAAAGAAAGGACAATGCTGAAACGTATGTTCCCGTCAGACCAATTGTGGTAAAAAATGAAATCACCCGACCACTCTCTGCTGAGTCCTTGCAGCAGGAAAGACAGGAAAAAACTTGCTCAAGTAAGAAATAAAAATATATAATGCCAAAAAGGAGAATTTTCATGCTTTTTCTCCTCTTTGGCTCAGGTGTAATTTCTACACGCATTTGTCATCATGAGTGGGGTTTTTTATTGTTTGTTGTCCACTTTTTTTTGCTTGTACCACCTCAACAGTTTTGACTCAGTAGCACCGTGTGAGAATCCACAGCCTGTGTATTTTAATTCTAATCTTCCTGCCTCTTAATCTTCCTTTACTTTTGCACCCCCAGCATAGGACTCTCTCTTCTTGCTTTCAGTTTTATGCTCACTGTATTTTCTAGTTCTGTATTAGAGACTTACTCTCTTCAGTACTAACAGAGGTCTCTGGCATTTATGTGGAAGATTTTAACACAAAACATTTGTAACAAGAAAGGAAAATAGTTTTCTCACTGCATGCAAAATCTGCTTTAGTTTCTGCTCTGAGGAGATAGATGATAGATGAGCACCAAGACAGACACTGTGAGGCAAACTTGGTCAGAGCAGCGAGCGAATGGTGCTAGTGTCATGTTATATATGTGCTTGAGTAGTGGTTACACACAGTCAGAATTCAGCAACATCCACATCTAGAATATACTGTGCTGTGACTCTGCTAAGTGTCCAATTCTTTGTGCTCAGCAGTCTCCACAAACGTGCCTGTGCTCTGGGTGGTTTGGCATGGACATCTTTTTTGCTTTGGTTGGAAGGATCATCTGCTTGTTGTATTTGCCTGGGATACTGCTAAGGCTGTCTAAGCATCAGGCTGGGACTATGCTTAATTTACACCTTGAACACTGCATATGTCTTCAGTGGCATAGATAAACCTCTATCTGGTATCATACTGGATTTTTTTTTTCTTTTTGAACTAGGTAACACCATTTTGAAGACACAGCTGTTTATTCTAGAAACTTGCTGCTAAAATGGGGGTTTTACATTGGTTTAAAAATCATCTCACAAATCTAGTGGCTGTAATCAGGATTGCAGTGTTTAATTGAGTTTAGCCTTTAACCAAACAAATTAAACTTTGGTTATGACAGTGCTGAGATAACCATGCAACATGGTAACCCTGAGGACTTACAAACGGTTTTCAAGGAAATAAAACTCAAATGTGTCCCAAGAAAGCAAGGTATTACTGTTTTTGAAAGATCATATAATAGCTGTTTAATTGAAGGAAAACCTTAATTAAACTAAGAAGCAGCAGCTAACTCTCTTTGCCTTTGGAGGGGAAAAATGTCCCTCCTGGGACTCTCGACAGTGTCTGGGCAGGTGCTTGCTCTGACTATTTTCCAAAGAAAGTTGTAGCTTTTTTTTGTAAGGTTTTAACAGTGCTTCTTAGAACTGCTTCAGTCCAACTGTCATTTGCTTTCATGGAGGATAGTGTAGTATAGAAAAACAAAAGGAACTTTGTTCTGTCCGTGGATTTGCAAGGATGACTAATGCTTGCTGGAAGTATGTGGTTATGATTGAGGATGACTTGGGGCTGAGGGGGAATACACTGAAAGCTCAATTCCCGTTACTTGTTTCCACTAGCAGTTTACTCTCTTGCTAACTTTATCTTGCTGTAGCATTATCAGCATGATGTCCTTTCAACCATGTTTAATATTTTTGCTTGAGTTTAATGTCTATACAGTGAGTTTCTGTTATTTGCTTGACTCTGAAATCCTTGAATACAACTGCATTTCTACGACATTTAGTCTTAAATTCGCTATAGTTCAATTTTATTCCTTTAAAAAAAGAAGTTTCAAGTTTCCAGCCTGTGATGTTTTTACTTCTCCGGCATGTGTGTGGGAAGACTGGGATGGTATATGGATGTTTTGATGGGTGTTTAGGTGATAAAGTTAATCTATTTTGTCTTAGGAATAGCAACTTCTGACTTCTCTGGTTTTGCTGTTCTTGGGGTTCTTCAAAAATAGCTGAATATCTATAAGCGAAAGTCTGGTGCGCTTAAAGTGTATATATGTTAACATTTTTTTACGAAAAAATTTTCATTAAATACCTGAACAAAGCAAATACATAAGCGTTTTAAAATACAAAAATCCCATGTTTCTCAGTTGCTAGTTTTCCCTTTCTTAATGACACTGTTTCAGCTGTTGTCTAGAGTAGATGTGACCAGGAATTCTAATGTAAAAACAAATTGAAGCAATTCAGTTGTGCTTTGGCTGTTTACAGGCTATTAGCTAGGCCCTCTGTTAGCAGCTGAAGTGTGTGTTTCAAATGTACCCTGCTGTAATGTGCTGTACTCGTACAGTGGGACTGATGGATATTCCTTGCTGCTTTTGCTGGCAGGACCGTTAAGTCGCCCAGAAAGGCCACTTTCAGCAGCTCGGAAGAACGTGTGCAAGAAGGATCCTGAGCTCTCTGTTTCTGCTGTTATTAAAGCTATGCAACTTGAAAATGAAACATTGCAGAAAGATTTGCCAAGGAAGTCAGTTTCCACAAGCCATGAAAAGGTATGGCAAATTGCAGAGAAGGGGCACTTGATCATGTAGCAAAAAAAGGCTTTTTCCTCAAACATGCATTATTCTCTAGTATATTTAAGACTATGTAAGAATGAATGGTGATGTGTCAAACTCTTAACTGAATTTGAATTATTCTTCCATAGGATGTGTTTTTTAAATCTCCTTCCTCAGGATATCATCCCACAGTATTCCCTTGATTTCAGGGATCGGTGAACAACTGACAGACCAGTTACATGATGCATCTGTACAGACAAGTGCACACTTGCAAAACCGGTCCTATTGTTGCATTTAGGTTTGTTCATTCTGGAAGCTTCTTAAGATGGTGTGTGATTCCCATGCCAATAAATTCTACCTTCCTACTGAGCTCATTAATGTGGGCACAGTTCCCTGTTAATACATGTTCTGCTTCTGGAGCCGAGCTGTCATGTACACTTCTGGCTTTAGTGAGGGGGAGCTAGTGTAGGTTGTTTGCACCTACCTCTGTTGTGTACATCTCTTATCTTCAATACCCACATTTAAAAGCAATTAGGAATTTCTCCAGCAAACACCTCTTCATTCCTTTCAGATTTAGAGCAGACCTTCCTATGTGTTAAGTCAAATGATCAGGACATTTGTACTGACAGTTCTGGCAAAATTTGATGTGCATAACTCATAATTCAATTCTTTTAACAGAAAGAGAGAACATAAACTCAGGCAAAACCTGTAATTTGCAAAGCTTCTCTAGTCTAATCTGCTTTGGATTTTCTGTTTTGATGTTTGTGAGCCTCACTTTTATACAGCATTCTCGGAGTTGCTCATTTGAGTTGACCGCGGCTCATAAAATTGAGAGCCAACCGGAAGGTAGGGATTCTGCAGCAAGGGTGGGCTGAGCAAGCAGACATTTGTTCATATTTATTTTTAATGTTTTGTCTGACCTGGTCACTATGCCACCTCTCTGCTTAAAGTCAATAACTGTAGATTTTCGTTAGATAAAACAACTTTGTGGCAGAGGGATTTAAAAGCATTTATGGTGTTTTTCTTGAGTCCAGGAAGGAGGATGCTTAGGCAGACAGAAGCCTTGGTTAATTTGGAGCCATACCACACGTGCAAAATGAGATTGCATACAAACATATATATTTTTAACAGTCATTGGGAATTACTTTGTTTTACTCTCCTTACATAGGAGTTCAGGCTGCAGTCTTGGCACTCATTATGAATGAAGACAAATTTTGAGAAGTGTTTAAGCTGGTACAGAGTTACTAGTTAGTCACAGTTAGCTGATGCTAGAGCTGGTTTCAAATACTCATTTATTCCAAAGCTGCAGACTAATAGTCATTTTGTGTAGGCAGAGAAAAACATAAATAAGCGATGTTCATTTCTCTTATGTAGACGCTTCCCGCTTCATCTGTTTTTGTTTCTGCAATGACTGAACCTTCGGAAAAAAGTCAGACGACTGCAGTCACAAAAGCTGTTGAAAGAATAAGTCTTTTTGGAAGCAGGTATATATTCTTAAGGTTAGCTCCCTTTTGTGGGGGACATTTCTCAGTCTTGACCATCACTGCACCTGACTATCCTCAGATATAGGAGACTTCATACAAGCAGTGGCAGAAATATGGAGAAGGATCCAGCCTTTGCCAGTGAATTTGGGAACTACCATCATCTCCCTCTAAGGATGCCTTTACGTTACCTTCTCAGATCACCTCAGGTGTAGCAGAGAACTGGATCCTAACCTCTTAAGCAGACTCTGTATCTAAGACGGGATGCTGAGACAGCTGCCACTCTGCAGAGGGATGCCTGGCATGTGGGGGGTTCATCTTGTCTTTACTTTCACACTGGCCGAACTGTTTGTTAAATATAAATGATTTATGGGGGGGGGAAAAAAACTTAAAAGGATGCATGTGTTTCAGGCAACAGAAGAAACTTCTGAAAGTTCTTCAGGAGATTGAGAGACGTTCGGTGTGTGACAAGGATGTATTTCTACCTGATGAAAAATGTGAAGAAGATTCCACAGCAAGAGAGAGGGTTTGTGTGGATGAGCAGAACAACTGATACTTCTTAATTTTTTTCTGATTTGATGTTACCAAGTGATCTTTTCCCTTATGAATAGGGACCTCCTTGGGGTACTTAATTAAAATCTTCTTGAGGTAGAAGAGAACGTAAAGGATGTCTCTAGTCCACAATTACTGTCAACTGTGTCTGCGTAATTGTCCTCTTTAATGTAACAAATATTTTTCTCCCATGTTATAGTGGGGCCTCTAGAAAACCTTGCTCATGTTTTCATCTCATTTAGGCTGCCTTTCCTGCTTTGGAGGACTTAGCCATAAAAATACCATACACCTGTTTCTAAAATCTGTCTTGATTTAGGGATGTTAGTTAATTCATGCTTTCAGTAAAGTCTCCCAGTTGCATCCTAAAGCAAACAGATTACTATTTGTGAGTCAAAAGACTCGCACCTCTAAGTTTAATATAACAGTTTGTAATCACAGTTCACACATCATTTCTATAGTAGAACATTCTACTTCCTATGTTCATCAGGATGATAAATGAATAAGACATCAGAGAGTTGTTCTTTCTTTAGGATTTGGAGTGGACTGAAATCCAAGTGATTGAAAATTTTGGTTCCCTTACTCTGCCATAGGCTTCCTAGTTGATATGGGGCAGAACTAGTAGACTGCAGAATGATTCCAAATGAGTGTTACCAGGTTTTACTTAAGTCTGCCTTTTTTTCCTTTTTTTTTTTTGTGCCTTTTTTTTCCTCCTTTTCTGATTGTTCAATATTGGAATTGCTGTAGGTTTTGTTTTGTCATTCCTCTGTATACCACAATATTTTGATTAGGTCCAGACAGCAACTGGCTTGGATATTCGGGATGCCATCTACGTGACTATGGAACTTCTTTCTAACTGGGGAAATCCAGTACACGTGGGATTGAGAGAGGTGGAGTTCTTCGATTTATGTAACGACAAGATGTTTGTGTCTCCTCATGATGTGGACATTCGAAATACTGACTATCCAGGGGATTTGTGTCGCTTGGTCAATAAGAAATTACATGTAAGCTAGTTTATTCCTGGATGTGAAAAGCTACTGTGTTTATTTAACACTCTATTGCTGTTTTTATAAACATGATTGCATTTTTAGGATGATTGCATGACAGCTATCTGATAATTAAAAAATTACAAATACTTATTATTTGCACAAACAGAGCTTCCTGGACAAGGATTGACTGAAGTCAATCATAATTCTCTTTTAGAGCAGAACTCAATTAATTTGAGTAAGGGTTCTGATTTATGTCACTAGACAGCTGGAAGAATGCAGCTTTAGCTGCCTCCTTTATATATATATATGTGTATATGTATATGTGTATATATATATATATATATAGTGGTATGATGTTTTTTGAAAGGACATGTTCAGTTTTTAAATTGTTGGAATATAATTGTAATAGAGCTGTAGAAAATGATAATGGAATGTTAAGGACACAGGGAATTTCACTTAATTTAAAATAAGCCTGATGGTAATCTTTAGTAATTCTTGCCATCTGAAGCTATGGGAGGCACATACCTTGGGAAGGACCCTGTGTGTTTATGGATGTTCTTCAACAAGCAAAGTATAGAGCATGACAAAAGAAAAAGTCTGTGAGGCTTCTCTGTTAGAAGGTGTAATGAGGAGACATAAGGTCTTTGTATAAAGCCACTAATGAATTTCTATACCCCTTCGTACAGCCAGGGTTTCATCCAGGTCTTTATCTGTGCCACAGGTTCCCTGTATTCCTTTGACCAGTCAATAAAGCAGAATATTCAAAAGTCTCCATATTTCAGAGCTTGAAACCTAGTAAAAATGGGTATGATCTTAGTGGGTGAGGATACCAAATGACTTAAGTCTTCTGAAAATGTGAAAATAGAAGTTTTAACTCACTTTGCACTGGTGATAATTTTCTACCTGTAAGGTAGTTGAAAAGAGGGTATTGAGATAATTTTTTTTTTTTATGTGGAACATCTTACTGTCTCTTGGAAATTGTGGCCTGGATGTTGTAAACACCCATTCTTATTTAAAGACCATAATCTCTGGTGGGTGACGTTTTTGCTTAGAACGAGTAATGATTCATGGACTTTCTAGATGACTATAAATTATATAGCAATATAATTATAAATCCATTATAAAGCCGTTATCCGCAGCATTTCTCATATATTCATATATCCCATTATTCTTAAGGTAATGAGATTTTATATTTCATTGATTAATGTATTCGTTTGATTTGCTGCCGTGTAGTATCTTGTCTTGATGCTAGAAAGGTATTGCATCAGAGATGGTGTAATTTGGACAGAAAATTAGGCATGTGTACTACATTTCTCTTTTTTAAAATAAACAAATAAATAATGTTTCCAGATTGTATAGACTTCAGATTAGAGATGAAGGTTGTGGGATGCAGTAGATACAATTTGTTTGAAGATTAATTTATTTGTTGTTTTATTTTGAGCAAAAGGGACACCATTAACATAACTTGCTTTGTGGAAAACCCACTCTGCCATTGATAAAACACATCTTTGATCACTTAAATGTATGTTTGTGTGTAAATATAGACATACCCTTATTGAAAATAAGGGTGTATTTTTGTGTGTGTGTTTCCGCCCCCCCTTTCCCTCCCCACCTTCCCCCATTCTTGCAGGCTGTTACATTTGCTATCCTGTGTAAATAATGAGTTGAATTTCTGGTGTCAAATCTTTTGAAACGGTGCCAGAGACTTAAATGCCTGTGAATTTGATTACCTTAAGTCCTGAGCATTTGAACTGTCTGCATGTACACTTCATGTCCTCCTTTAATATTCAGCATCTAAGAGGTAGCTGAAATGCCAATGTGCTCCACCACACGAGGGATAGTACTGTGTGACTGTATATCCGAAGATGTTGCAACTTTTGCACACACAGCTTTTAGTCATAGGACAGACTCAAACTTATCTATATATGGACCTTCAAATACCAGAGTATGCAATTGCTTGTAAATAACCTTTTGGATTTTGGAGGAACTTCGTCCATGTAGCTGTCCCTTTCTCGGAACACTTTTCTGTCACTCCTTTTCTTGTCCCTTTATTGCTTATATGTATGGACACCTGCACAAATCTCAATCCATCCCCTTCCCAAAAGAACCTTTATGCTTTTCCTTTCTAATTTTGAAACAAGTTGTTTATTTTCCACCTATGGTTTGTGGTTGTGAAAAGCTCCTTTTCCACAGTTCCTGAAAATGCAAAGATATCACTTAAGACCAATGCGAAGAATTAAGTATGTTTTTGTGCTATAAACTCTCCTGATTGTCTGTGGTCTGTAAAATTCATATTTACAGTTTGTGTCATGTCTTAGAAAAATGTCTAGCTTAGACTTCTGTATACTAAGGAGAAGATCTGCAATTGAAATTAGTTATGTTGTCTAAGGCCTAATTAAAATAAAGGCAGTGAAATAAAATTCTTCAGGTTCCCATATTCTGTAGAGGGTAAAAAAGAAGTGTTAGCACTTTTGTAAATTGAAAAACAATTATATGATGTCTTTGTGCTCAGTGATCCCCATCAGAGCCTGCAAAGCTGCTTAATGTGATTAAAGGGGCCTTACTCTGACCCCGCAGCATGGCAGGCCGTGTGCTGCCCAGAGCACGCGGGCCCGCGGGCAGCTGACGGCTACCGCCTTGTCCGGCTGTCGCGGGCTGCCTTCACGGCACCCGGGAGGGTCAGATTTACTGCTTGAAAACGAGGTTAAGGTTTTGCTTTTAACTTGGTATGTTTTATCCGGTGGTTACTTTTCTGCTTGGCTTATTACACAGAAGGGAGGGAGGGCAAATTAATCCAAATATTCTGCGGAGAAGGAGTGTTAAGTGGGGCTTCCTGTTTGTGTTTTTAGACTGCGAAGGAGAGCTTCCTTTGGATGTGCCCTTTCTATCCGCCCGTTCAGCTCTACTTCGTTATCCGCAATCCCACCCGGTCACGTGACTTTGGTATATCCAAGATCAAGATCTGGAATTACAACACAACAACTCTTAGTGTAAGTAGTCTATTCTCAACTCTTCTACATGTATGCTCTGCCTTGTGCTCGGCTTGATCTTATTTCCAAAAGTATGAAATAAAAATAGGTACAGCTTTTCTAATTAAAGGGGAAATGGGACATTTCCTTGTCTGCTGCGGTATTTTGCTTTTGTATTGATTAAAACTCATAGCAATGTAAGTGTTAATGTTTTTCACAGGCACGGATAGCATTTTTTTTTTCCAGAGCTACTACAGTTCTCTAAAGAGATTAAAAAAAAATGCATATTGTGTCAGTTAATCCTTTACTGTGGTGAGAAATAAAGATACAAAGGTAAGTGTGTCTTAATGTTCAGGGCTCTTTGGGACCTTTTATCAGAATATAAAGAAATATTTGTTTGATTTCTTGTGCGTGTTTATATACACACACACCTACCTTTGTATACATGCTCATACAAGCATATATGTGTAAATAGGCTGGCTGGCTGGCTGTTGCTCTCTTTGGGTTTTGTTGCCTTAATTCCAAAGTATACTCATTACAAATGCATAATAAAAGAAATAATCTAGTATTACAACAGAGACATCTCATGGCAGATGGTGACTTGTTTTTGTATTTGAATTTCCCTGTGGAAATTATTCTCATTTGTACATTGTGATGTTAAGAAAAAAAATACCACAGGTACTGGATCAAAGAGGATTTTCTGTTCTGGATTACAGATAAGATGCTTTATCCTCCTGATTTTGCTCTCAGACCTGTTTTTATATGTGCACATATGTTAATTCATACATATGGAAAAAGCTATGGAAGCAACAGCTTAAGCAGATGTATTATAATATGATTTACATTTATTTTCTAGAAGCTGAATAACATTTTTTCTGTTAAAATGTGGGCTACAGTGTGTTCTGTGATAAGTAGAGGATGTGAAAAGGACTGCTGCTTTTACAGCTTGTGTTCGATTTGTTGGCAAACATTGAATATAATGTAGGAAATAAGTAAATGTATTTTCATGTCTCAAGGCCTCTTTTTAAATTTATTATTGATTTATTTTTAAACAAATTGCTATGAGAGAGGCTGTAAAATCTGTTAGGAATATAATCCCATGGATTTCAGTAGTCATGCAGCAGTCTACACTGATTAAGTAAATGATTCAGTATCCATAGTTTGAAACACTAATACAAAACAGTTCTGTCAGTTCTATATATTTTCATAAGGAATTTTTATCTGAGAAGTGTTTTTAAAAAGAAAAAAAAATCCACCACAAAAATATGATTATCTCTTCCTGCTAATGAAAACTCGAGCATATATTACTTTGAGGTTTTTTTTAACCATTCTAACTCTTATAGCTTCCTCTCTCTCCCTCAAAAGCAATGTGAGAGGTGCCCAACAATTCAATATTTTTTTTTTGAAAAAAATAATTTTTAAAAAAATCAGAGCAGTGCTGCGTGAGTTTCAGAACTAGAGCCTCAGAGCAGAAAAAGGATGTCTGAAAAGGACCATAGAAGTCACATTGCTTCATTATCATAGATATATTGATTTAGTGCATGACAAGAAAGATCTCTGAATGCTTCATTTTGTTGTCTTCATTCGTTTCCAATGTTCATTTACTAGAGGTGGAGGTTTTTTTCAGCCTTTAGGGTGCAGTTTATCACTTCTTGGCTACACTGGAGCTTTGTTCACACTAGGATATTCCCAGTGGAGTTAAGTTTATACAAGAACTTCTTTTTTTTTTTTTTTTTTCTATCTCTTGGCTTGCTTTTTTGTTTTTGTTTTTTTTTGGTTTGTTTTGTTCCTCTTTTTTGCCTTTCCAAGGAGAAGAGAGCCAGCGAAGAAACTTCCAGTCCTTTTCTCTATGTTTAATTCTTGGAAAAAGTGTCTCTGGTTTTGAGCTTTTGCTCCCCATTCACAAAACTAAACAGCACTGTTGGGTGAAAGAAAAGCTGTCTCTGCCACTTGATAGGAAAGCGCTTTCCCAGCTGGCCTCTTTTCAGGGTTGAAGGTATAAGCCAAGAAGGACTGCCAAGAGAAACAGTAGGATTATTTTCACTAAATATTTCCGCATTCACTGACAATATATCTGCTTACTCTTCTGAGAAATTGTGTCTTTCTAATTACTGTTTTGGGAGGAAAATAACTGCCTTTGTCTCAAATGTGTGCTTGTAGGCTTTTGATGAAGCTACTCATGGAGTAAGCTTCTTGGTGGAACTGCTCTCACAGTAGTTGATGGAATGACTCTCAGGGCAGATCTTCAGAGCAGCTTCATCAAGAAGCTGCCCTACAAAGAAGGGGATTTTTCCAGCCTCCCTGTACAGGAAGAATAGTAGTGCTGCAACAGGATATCGTGTCAACCTTTCCTCTTCACCTTACTTGCAAGTGTGGAACAGGGTAGGGGATATGAAAAAGTGGAGTTTTGCACATTCTTTGTTCTTTGAGTCCCTGGGATCAAGTCATATTTTTCCACGTTGAGCCTCAGCATGCTCAGAATTTTGGTGCATGAGATTTTCATTAGCCACTTTACTGGTAGTTCGTGTATAGCTAGTGGTTCTAGGCCATCATCTGTCTTTACTGCCTTTTCCAATTCTGTCTGTCTGTCTTTGCGATCTCAGAAATATCCATAGATTTGGCTGGTTTGTCTTAACACTCCTCATACATGAGGATACCATTATACCATTATACTCCTCATACATGAGGAGTGTGCCCTCTTTGGAAAGTAGTGGAATGAGAACTGTGAAGACTGGCATAAAATGCATTTAAGAATGAATAACTAGAGGCATGTGAATACACTCGAAGGTGAAGGAAAAAAATGACTTGGAAGGCTGAGAGCGGAGGAAACTAAATCAGTATTCAGGGAGGACTGACTTCCTTGAGATGACCATGAGGGATGAAACTGAAGCTTAGTCAGTACAAGAAACCTCAATTTCCATAAAAATGTGGAAAGAATAGTTTTTAAGGACTACATATGATGACACGTTACAGAAATTGAGATAGCAGAAAGATTTTTGTCTGATCTTTTATCCTTTATTTGGAGATACTTTTTTTTTTTTTTGAGGGAGAGAAAGGTAGATGGTAAAGAAAATAGAGACTAAATTTCAAATGGAGTGGAATGAAACAATCAGGTTTCAATGGCTGCCACAGAAATGGGGAATTTAGAGATTAATTTGTGAATGTTAGATTTGTTTGTGATAAAGGCCTTCAACTTAAACTCTAGTTAATAATTGGTATAACCTATTGAGGCAGATGACCACATTCTTATTCAAAAACTGTAGAAAAACAGATTGATTGGGTATTTCTTTGCTATGATATAGTGCTCTTCTTTCTTCAAAGCACGGGGATGGAATGTAGGATGTTCGTGTGTATTTTTTGTGTGTGTCTGGTGGTTGTTTTTTAAGTGTCCTTTTCAGGCCTCTATTTTTGTAACTCTCTTAACTCCTGGCTTTGATCTGGGTATCTGCTCAGCATATACCTTATGTGTCATGGTAGTGATAAGTCTTAAAGATGCTGTGCTAAACTGTGCCTCTGGAATATACTTTCTGATGAAATACCATTATACTTAAGCTTGACTTATAAATATTTAAACCTTTATTTTGTAGGTGACTGCCAAAATGGTTCACACTAGTGCCTAGGATGATCTTTTAATAAAATCTTAAATATTTTGCAGTATTTTCAGCTTCTTAGAACTTTTCATTAGTAAGCAGATAAAAAGGATGTTGTTAGTTTGAGCTTTTAATGCTTTTCTTCTCTATGTTAATTAAATATTCAGATGTTAGAATTTCAGAACAGTGATATCTAATGTTTGAAGAGCATAATGGAAAACTTCGTATTTTTGTTTCTGCAGGACCTTGATATAGGAGCAAAGAAAGTGAAGCTGTATGTTGATGAAAACCTGGTGTTTGATGGTGAATTAGAGAGAGGCTCTGGAGATCTCATCACCAATTGTAGTACTACAATTGACCTTACACATCATGGACAAAGTGTCACTACACATTCCTCAAATGAAAGGAAGGAAGAGAGTACAGCTGGAGTCACAGACAGTAAAGAGGACCTATATTTAAGGTACCTACAGCCAAACAGTACTTCACTATACCGGAACTCTCTGTCCGAGGAAAGTCACCTTGAGGATAAGATGAACTCTGTCAGCCTTATGAAGGAAAACTTGACTGAATTAGAAGATGATCCAAAAGTGTTACCATCTCTTGTTTGTATGAAAGATACCAAAGAGGGTGAAGTAACAAAGGCTACAGAGCATATTCCATCTGATGAAGAGCTTAGTTTGAGTGAGGAAATAGAAAAGCTAATGGGAAGAAAACTACCTGAATCTACAGGTGCGCTTCCTTCTTGGTTACAGTCATCATCCCAAGTAACAGAGAATACTCAAGGTATTTGCAGTAAGCAGAAGCCTTCCTGGCTGGCTACGGAATGTTGCTTGGGAATGAGATTTCAAACACCATCCGATGGAATCATGAAAAACATTTCAGGTCTGACTAATGAGGATGTCAAATGTCAGAGAAATGAATTGGGCAGACCTGGTAGTAGAAATGCAAACAGAGGTGAAAGGTTGGAAATGCTACCAAGAAAAGATGATGGTGGCTTGGACATTTTGGAGCAGTTTTCTGACAAACATGGCTGTAACTTAGGCTATCCTATGAGTGGAAGGAGAAGTGTCAAATATGGAAGAAAGGAGGGAGTAAACCCTATAGATGTTGGAGAAGGGGATTCAGCACCCAGAGGTAAGAGCTTACAATAGCAATCTCATTGCAAGCACTTCTTGCATGTTTTTAGTTTCTGGAAGTATAGATAAGAAGATTATTTACTTACCCCACCCTGTGGAAAAACATACATTCTGAATTAGTATTTTAAAATTTGTTTGGAGAGGATGGAATACAGAATTTTATTTTTAATATTTATTATTTTATAATTATGCTCTGTAAAATGACAGTCCTACAGACAACCAAGTATTTTTGGTGAAAATGTGCAGAAAGATTGAGGAAGAATGGCCATGAGGTTGGTAGTGAGTAAGTTTTTCTTTGTAGTAGATATGTCTTTGCAATGGGAATGTTGGCTGCCTGCTGCAATTTCTACTCTTTTCACCTTATTTGTGCAGCTGTTTTATTTTTGTCTATACAGTACAAGGAAATAAGATACAGATATCCAAACTAATCCTTCATCTGAATTTGTGTGGACTAGTACACCACAAATTTACAGACTTTGTTTAAGAAGCAGTACAACATGCACTCTTATTATGGGCACGCTACAATAAGGATTACCGGACAAAGACATTTGAGGCAGAGAAGCATTATACTAAGTATAATAAAAAGGAAAAAAAAATGTGTGTTTTTTTTTTTTTTTAATAACAGCAGATCAGTTGCAGCATAACTACTGAAGGCAACCCTTATCTGTTTGACTTTTTCATTGAGGACTAATCTACGTCAAAACCTCTTGCTCATGGAGTCTGAGCACAGTGCTCCTGTTTTTAATACTGCCTTAGAAGATTGCCTCCTCCCGTGGCCGTCCTGATGAGTGTTGCTTTATCCCTGCAAATGCACACGCACATTCCTCAAAAACCAAGCCTGCATGAATGACTGCATGTCAAGCTAGGCAGCTTGGCAGATGCAAGAGACTTAACCCCACAGATTTGGGGTTTTTTAATAGTATTTAAAAGCAGGACCGAAAAGGATCGATCTCTCCTCAGCAGAGTTGCCAACAGTGTCCCTGGCCCTAGCTGTGCAAGGCAAAAGCATGCAACAGTTTCACTTCATCAAAAAGCTTCTTACGGTGTGGTGGTTTGTTCTTCATGGTGTAAAATCCAGAAAAAAGGGAATAGTATAAGAAGTTACAGCTTGTATGTGCTCAAATCTAACTTTTTGAGCTGCTAGGTGTAATCTCTTATTTTGCTTTATAAGCAGAAACAGGTCAGGTTTTTGTGTGGTGTTTTATTTTTTAGTTTGTTTTGTTTGTTTTCGATTTTGACTGCCTAGGTGAGAGAGCTCCCCAGTTTCACCAGTGTTTGCAGTCTTACTCTGTATGCTTTATAGAAGAGAAGAAGTAAAAGAAATTATTTTTTGACATTGGTTTCTGTTTTAACTAGACTTATCTTATTCTTAGCCTTCTCTGTGGCGGAGGAGGTTTGTACAAGTTTGCAGGCCAATCTCTGAGCCATGTCACACAGCTTTGCATTGGGTAGGCCTAAATCTCCCACTTCTTTGTTTCAATGCCATTCATCACATTCTGGGATATATTTTATTTCATAAATCCTTTAATCAGATTTTGCCTTATGTTAAGGAATTGAAACCTACTCATAATCGGAGCACATAGAATATATAATTTAACTGTGGGTCTGTGACAAGCAGTATAAGTGATTTTCCTACATTAAAAGCAGCAGATTTGACCAAATCACAATATGGCATGTAAAGCCTCTCTTGCTGGATTATTGCCAGTTGAAATTGTGTGGCCGGTACTGTGTGGGGTTACTGGACGAAGGTGAGGAGAACAGTTCTTTCTAACCTTGAAATACTTCAGTGTTCTTCTCTTGCTCTGTGGGGGTGGAAAAAAAACATCATTTTATAAGTATATCAGAAATCACACCCAAAGAACAAAACAAAAAATGTTTAAGTAGGTAGGATAAATACCATTTTGCCTTCACCCACCCTTCACCAAAGCCTAGGGTTGCAGTTTCACACGTTTTACGCTACCTCTGTCAGTTTTAAAACTTTTTGGTGTTAGGGAAACTGAGTAAGTCCCACTGTAATAGTTTCCATTCAGTATTAAACTGGTAATGGATTCACTGTAAACTCTTACCTGAGGGTTATCGGGGTTCTCATTGTGATACCCTACCTCTGCTTTTGCTCAGAGCGAGCTTAGTCATTTAGTGTTTAAGACTTACGGAAAAATTGAAAATAAAACTCCCAATGTGTGTTTGTTCCTGGCAAAATAGCATGCTACCTAGGTACTTTTGGTGTATTTGTACTGTACTGTGCAGGGTAAAGCCATCTCCAAAGTGGAGCTGAGGGAGCATTAACAACAGGGAAACAGTTTTAAGTGTTTCCCTAAGAATAGTGGATTTTAATTGATATGGGGCTAAGGGAACTGCAGTTTCCCTGTAGCAGCAATATGTGACCAAGGGGAGGCTGCACAGGCCCTAGTACAACTGCACAGGCCCTGGTGCAACTGCACAGCACATGTTTGATCTTTAAATGAAGACTAACAAGAAAAACAGAAATTAAAAATCCCATGTACATGCCTGCTTAGCTTGAGCTGATGTCCCTCTAAAAGCCATACACTTTTTATTGAATAACTGCCTCAATGTGCAAAGAAAATAGTGATGGAAATATGCTGATTAAAATTGGCAAATCACATAAATTGGTATATTATGAGTTAAGAGGATTGGAAAATTGCAGAAAAAGATGTACTTGAGGACTGTGGTAATACAAAATGGAATGCAATTCAGTAGTACTGGTTGCAAGGTCATTTGGGGACTAATAACAGAAAATTAAATTGTAAGCTGAATAATCAGTTGCAAATGATCGAAGAAGAGAAGCATCTTAGCTGATTAGTTGATCACAGTCTGACTATGAAATACTAGTGACATGCAGACATGAATATAGCAATGCTCTGAGGATGTATCAGCAGAGGTATTTGTGTTAGTGTTATGGAAATGTTAACATCTCGAGACAGGCGCTCATGAGATTTCAGTTGCAAAACTTCGCAGTCTGATTATCCATATTCAGGAAAACTGATTACCAAGTGGAGCAAATACAGAAGAGTTTTTAGAATGATCAGGGAAATGAAGTGCATGATTGCAGCAAGGAAATAGGACTGCTGTTCATAATTAGAGCAATTAGAACTGGGTTTAGTGTAGCAGAAGAAAGGATTTGTGGTGGGGTGTTTGGGTCTTCTGCTAGTGTTATCCGAGGTATAATTCAGTATAGTTACAAACAAAATGGTACAGTGTGTGCTGCTTGCAGGACATGGAGCTTGGTGATTCAAGACACCTCTCCTAGGCCCGCAGGGAATGCACATTTGAGGTGTCATTAGTTCCTGGACTGTCTGAGTAGCATCCATCATACAATCCCTTCAGGCATGTGGAAGACTAGGAATGTGTCTGCCAGTGGAATCGTCTTTATTATATAGGTAGAGTTTATTGCAGGAATATCCCAGTTCCTTGACGTGCTGCAATATAAACAATAAATTTTAGGCCCTGAAAAGAATGCCAAAGACTGTAAACCTTCCGCCATTGACCTCTACTGCCAAGATACCCTACGCGTTCCGTTAAGGAGTGACAGCAGGAGAAATAGAGCTCTGGATGTAGCCTGTGTATGTTAGAAAGCCATTAGCCTCCCACTGAAAATCAGCCTGCTGCAGTGCTTTGGAGCTGTAGAAAGCTACTGACTATCAGATACCTTTCTGTACCTGCTCATCCTCAAGTTTTCAACCTTTGATATTTTAAAATGGTAACTATTTATTTAGCATCCTCTCCAGGTAAACTGTGGGGATTTATGAGGGACTGTGAGTATATCCTGTGAATATATGTACGGACGGTGATTTGATTTAGCAAATGACGTACAGATGACTGAAGTTCTCTGAAATGGGATGTTCGCTGCCAATCTGGATCCCCTGTTCCCAGGGAAGGGGTGGGGGTAGGGAACGGCCAGGTTTTAATCTCCAGCCTGCGCATACAGATTTACGTAGTTACCCATCTGCTTTAAAATTTGTGTTCTGATCTCAGTTGTTCTTCATTTAAAATGACTTTTACTCATAGATTAGGAACGCTGCATGGTTCCTACTGATTCTGAAAACAAAGTTAAAAGTTAATCTTAAAGCAGTCTACTGGGAGAATATTATTCTGCATTTTACTGCAATAGGCATGTATTTCCATTCTTGATAACCATTTGCTTTAATATCCACTCAGGGATTTTTTATGGAAGTAAAACCTGGCCAATGGCTCTGTAATTGTTCAGTGTTACATTTGCTTTTCTTCATTTATATAAAGAAAATGTACCATCGACAGTTTAGTTGAAAATTGCTGTTATCATCTGCTCCCTAATTGTTTTGGGATGGAAATTGAGCAGCCTCCCCAGGGCGGTCTCAAGGAGAGCGTACTTGGCTCCCACTGTGCTCCTTTAAGGTGTTACCCCTGCTGCATTCCCAGTACCCACTTTACCATCATCTTCCTTCCTGCGTCATGACTCTTGCTGAAAAATGGGGAAAATATTTGAGCCTCTCACCACTTTTCTTGAAGAGCCTTTTTCCCTTTTTCCATTTAATTATTTTTAGTTGCTCTGAGTATTCTCAGTTTATAACATCACTCCGATATAGTTCTCTTCACTTAGACACAGTTCTCCTTGTCAGATCCTTTTCTTAATCCTTGTAGGTTCTGTTTACTCTGAATTACCCTCAAGAGATCCATTAATCTATGGAAGCCTGTATCCTTCAAAGCATTGCTTCTGCTTTTCTGACATACAGGAGACATTTTACAAAATGATGCAGGTCAGTGTATAGATTTGGACAGTATTTACTGTTCTGCATCATCTACCAACTTTGCCCAGCAGTGACATGGTATTTTCCTTCTTGTTGTGACACTTCTCTAAGTGTTCAGTTTTAGGGGTGTCTCTTATGTAGCCTTCAGAATTGCCAGGTGGAACAATCAACAAGCCTCATTTCACTAAGAAATACATCTAGTAAAGTACTTGACAAGCCTATATGCCATAAAATTATGTTTGCTAGTAATGACTATATCCTTTTCTCAATTGAGCAAGCCTTTTTTGTCATGAGATTAGTGTCAAAAGTCAGCAAAATTATTGTATTTAGTACTTTTCAATATTAGTGTAATATTAGCATGATACCAATTTTATGGAACCTCTTCAGCTAATTTCAGCCTAATTTCAGCCTAATTTCAGCTTTAAAAAAATCAGCATAAGCAAACAGATCAGTCGCAGGCCAATGCTTTCAGAGTACTTGAGTGTGAATAATAGAGGCAAAACCTTTAGGTAGGTTGTTAAATTGTATCTGTTAATACTCTTACTCATATCCTACCTATTAATAGGATTAGAGTAACACATGGGTTTTTTGATGCATAGAATGAGAATTAATCTTATTTTTTTCATGAGAAATGGATGAAATAATACCGTCCGTTCCATAGTCCCTTTCCTTAGCAACAGGAAACTGAGATTTCAGTAGTCTGGACTCCTGCGTTCAGGATAAAGAGTTGACGTATCTTACTGTGAGTGACAAAAGCAAAGGGAATGTGGCTAATTTCATTCTCTGTTCTCTGTCTTTGAGGTCCCTCTCTCCTGTGTTGCTCTTCCTCATATGTGCTCTTTTTCATTCCTTTTATTACTTTCCTTTAACGAGTGTCTCTTCTTGCCTCCTTTTCTTCTACACAGCAGTTCTCCAATTTTCCTTGAGCAGCACTCAGCAGTTAGGAGGGTTGCTAATACAGACGCAGCAATTTAGGCTGCTGTGGTTGTGGGAGCCTGTATGAAGAAGAGAGATCTTGTGCAGAAGGGTGATGACAACACTAATTGTAGTTAATGGTGGGAAAAGAGTGGTGAGTTGCTAAGTACTAATGTCAGCAAGGCAAAGAGAAGGAGTCCAAAGCACTTAACCATCAGGGATGCAGACAGTAACACCTTGTGCAGGGTCCTGTGCCTGCCAAAGGCAGTGGCAAAAGCTAACAGGAAGAGAGCCTGCAATTATGTGGATCTGATGCTGAATTTTATAAAAATGACCTTGCCAAGCTCAAGGTGGTCTTTAGCAGCAGTTTCTGTGTGTGGTTTACCCTCCTCCAAGCCCATTGTTGTGTGCTTCAGAGTTAGCATCTTTCCAGCAATCATTCTGAGGGGGTTTCGGTCGCATTTCTCTTCTTGAATAAGGTTATTTAATTTAAAAAAAAAAACTCACTGGAGGGAGCAAGAAACAATTCTGCCTGAAGATTTTCACTGAGTGTCTCACTTTTTCTGCGGTGCATCCATACAGGGCTTTATAAACACTTAAGAAAGTATATTTCTTAGGAATCATGCATGGGAAAGTCAAAAACTCTTACCTTTTTAGATATCCTTCTTCCTTACGCCCCAACCATGAATGTTACACTGATGCTAGTGAAAGGCAATAGGCCCTTTGAAGATACAGGCAGGACAGGGTGTGCAGACAAGACACGTACAGAGTAGGAAGAGGAAATGGACAGTCCAGTAGTTTCTTCCTGGTTGCTCAGCAGTATCCTGTGTGTTCACATGGAGTAAGGAAACATTTAGGAAGGGTATTTTTGTGGAAGGAGGTAATATTGGATTTGCTGCGCTAATATAAAGCTTAAGACTTCCTTGGGGTTGGAAGTTAATTCTTTCCATTTATAAATACTAATTACGCTAATGACAGCTTAAGCTTCCATTATTTTTTTTAAATTGGATATATTTGAGACACGTAAAAGTTCACCTGTTATACAAGAAATAACTGATCAATACTGCCAAACATAAAATACCTAAAGAATTTTGAGGTTGTCTTAAAATGTTACCTATACAGAGTTCCCGTTTCTATCCATGTGTGTGCTGTAGAGGAGTTATGTCTTTTCTACTAGCTATACAAATAAGCCTGTTTCATTCTGCTTGTATCGAACATGCCCGGCCCCTTACACTGGAATTTCCCCTCATCTGATTTCAACCTACTTTGACAAGAATGACTGCCCTTTCTCTCTAAGGCTTTAGAAACCTAACCAGCTCAGTTCTTTCTCACTCTGTAGCCGTTAGTACTTGAGATTATTTTGCATATTTTAGGATATCTGGGATTTCTGCATAAATGCAAACAGGAGGTTTAAATTAATTTGACACCAGCCCAATAACTGTTTAGACAAAATCTTTGGATCAATTAGTAGACCCCTGCTTAATGCAAGTACCGTCTGTTAATTAACGCAGATTTTTAAGAGATCTAGATGATAGCAAAAAATAAGTCAGACATCCAGACACTACTGCCAAACAAAGGTTTAATGAAAGTTCTTCTTGCTGAGATAATGAGGCAAAGCTGTCTAAAAACTTCTGTCTTACTGAGTAATTACGCCTTCTGTCAGTCTGCACAATTAGTGTTTACTTGCATCCTCTGCTGTTTCTGTGTGTTTATACTGAAAATCATAAACTTATTTTAAGAAGATTATGGGTATCACAGCTAGAAAGATATGCAAAAGTAGTGAGGAAGAGTAAATTTTAATGTTTATATTTTTATCTGCATTTAATATGTGATATATATGCAAGAAAGTTCTGATAGAAGTGAACATAAAAGCAAAATATTGATTGTCACCTTTCAAATCTAATGTGTAATGAAGATTGTAGTAGAAGCAGGTAGGGTATAGTTATTAATGAGCATTTCCTGCAGAAACTTTTGGGTTTCTGGTTGTTTATTTTTTGTTTAATGGTTTTACCCAAGACTTTAAATTATAAAGCTTGTTAATGATGAAATTCCAGAGTCAAGATTTCTCAGGCTTAAACTTGGTTTCATTTTTTTTTTATGTTGGCATGTACTCTTCAATATTCAAGTAATGGCTTTCTTTAAGTCTAATTGGAGGATGTAAACTGTGGCATGTGGCACTTATGATTGGGAAGTAATATAAAAATAATAACAGAATTTAGTAGTAACAGAGCACAAATATGACAAACAAGATTCTAGAAAGTTTGTGTTAGTGATTTGTTTTCAGTCCTGTGTATGCGTTAAATCCTTATGCGATGTTTTCAGATGAAGACTTCTCTATCAAGGGTGTAGCATCTAGAGCAAGATGGCACAGTGAGCAAGAACATACTCTCCAGGAGTCCTGGAACTCCTTGGTGAAGTTTAATTATTCCCATCGAGGACGAATTTCTAATATGGATTTTCAAGGGGATATCTTTGATGAGTTTCTCCATCAGCAGAAAATCAACCGACTTGGAGAGTATCAGCTAATGAGAAAAGATGGACTGCAAACACTACCAAAAAGGCAAGAAGAGGAAAACTCTATGGAGGCAGATGATGGAAGTGATTTCAAAATCCCTGTTTTGCCTTACGGGCGGCACTTAGTGATAGACATTCAAACAACATGGGGAGACAGGCATTATGTAGGTCTTAATGGAATTGAAGTTTTCAGTTCTAAAGGAGAGCCTGTTCAGATTTCAAAAATAACAGCGGAACCACCTGATATAAATATTCTACCAGCTTATGGCAAAGATCCCAGAGTAATAACCAACCTAATTGATGGGGTAAATCGGACGCAGGATGATATGCATCTCTGGCTAGCACCATTTACCCCTGGAAAACGTCACTTTATCTTTATTGACTTTGTGAATCCCTGTCAAGTAGCTATGATTAGGATTTGGAATTACAATAAATCTCGCATACACTCTCTCAGAGGTGTGAAAGACATTATAATGGGGTTAGACGAACAGTGCATCTTTAAAGGAGAAATTGCAAAAGCTTCAGGAACCTTGTCTGGAGGTATGATATCATTCCTCGTTTTCTTTGTGAAAACTTTGGCACAATGTAAGCAAATACCTTTAGTTGTTTGTTATCATTTTCGACAGCTGGTGCTTTTTGTAGTATTCAATCTTTTTAATTTCAAAACATAATGTAAAATCCGCTACTGCGTTCTCTAGTTACACTGTGTAATCAAGTAGTATATAGAGCTAATTTTTATTCTTAACGCTGTCTTGGTAACCAGATTGGATTCCTGTAACAAATATACACTCTTTATGTAGTTTTTACGTTTAATCTTGTATGTTGCTTTCAGCTCCAGAGCACTTTGGGGATACTATTTTGTTCACTACTGATGATGATATTCTTGAAGCAATATACTGCTATGATGAGACATATGACGGCGAGATGGAAGGCACCTGTTGCTTGAGATATGAAGAAGAGCTAAAGAGACCAACAACTGCTGATGGGGAGGGAGATGAAAGGCCTTTTACACAGGCAGGGTTAAGAACAGAGGATCAAAAGGTAGGATCTCTGTTTTCAGAAATCTCTGTAATGTATTTCCGAAACATCATGAAAGTAAAAGGCACTAATTCCCATGATGGAATAAAGCTGTAAATGATACAACTGTCCATTTTGAAGATTATTTTCCCACAAAATTAATAATTAAGGGAAGATTTTTAAGCTGAAAGGTTTGGTCGATGGTTCTCCAAGTTTAGTGTTCCCTGGTTAATTTAATAAGACTATGTGGAACACTAGACAAAGTATCCTGAATTTTAATTACATACACATGCAGGAATAGAGGGGTTTCTTCTTGATTCAGGTACACTTGAAAGTTTATACGTACTCATCCATCATGAGGACATCTGTTCTGCTGCCTGAAGTATGTTACAGCCTGGGAAATAAAACATGTAAGATCCAAGGATATCAGTGGCTCTACTATAGAGGTATAAAATGATGTTAAAAGAAAAGTATGATAAGTTTTATATTTCCTAGGCACAAAGTAGATCCATTTGGTGTACTCTGAACCACAAGAAAGTTCACCTCTAATGATGAATGAACCTTTAAAGAATGTATCTAGACTCCTATCTTTTTTTTTCTTCTCTTGACTGCTCAGGAAGATTGAACTCCCTTTTGTAGAGGCGCCTAATAATGTTGAGATTGCAGCATTAAACTTCTATTACTTTGTAGTCTTTTACTATATATGTAAAATGAGAATTGTTTTCCTCATGTGCAGCATTTTTATATTTGTCTACAATGAACTTAATTGGCTGTTTTATCACCTTCATTTAGTGAAATTAAGTCTTCAGGCAAACCTTTGCAGTTGACCTTTGTCTTTAACTCCCCTAATTACCCTGGTATGATCAGCAAATTTTGTCTTCTAGTTATCCCCTTTCTGGATCATTTCGTTGAATAGTATAGGCCCCAGATACCTCTCAAAACCAACAATTTATTCCTCTTTATTAAGCAGTTCAGTCAAGTAAGGAGCTTCCTTCTTATCCTATTGCAGGTTAACTTACTAAAGAGCTTTGAGGAAGCCTGTCTTTGAAAATGCTCTGATTTTTGTCCTGCATATTGCATGATTTAGGAAATTTTACTGGATTTTTTGAGATCTAGTGAAGTGCTTCTTCTGACTGCCATGATCTTTCAAATGTAACTGAGCATGGCCTTACAATGACAACCACCAGCTCCGTCAGCAGTGGTGGATGTATTCCAGCAGCACCCATGGACAGTTCAGTTTGATTAAATATTCCCTAATCTGTTCCTTCTTGACCAAGGGAAAGTAATACTTTTCTCCTTATGTTAGTTTTGATGCTGATGTACAAATAGAAGTGCTTCTTGACCTTGACATCCCTCACCAGATCAAACTTCACATGAGCTTTGGCTATCCTAGCCCTGTCCTTGCATGTTCAG